AAACGGTTTCGGTTTATAAACGGTTCGGGTCATTAACGGGTTTATAAACCACTCGGTTCGGTTTCGTTTCGGTTCGGATTTGCGCAGTTTGGTTTGTTATCGGTTTACGGTCCGTAACGGGTTGACATTGAGCGGTTCAATTCGGTTTCGGTTTGATATTGAACGGTTCAGTTCGGTTTTCGGTTTACATTTATCGGTTTATAAACGGATCGGTCCGTGATGGTTCGATTCGATAACGGGCGGTTTCACGGTTCGGTTTGAAAAGTTCCACCCCTAGAATTCGCAACACACACAAAAAAAAAAAAAAAAAAAAAAAAAAGGTGAGAATTTTAAGAACTGTTGTTTAATAAGAAGGAAAAAGAACTGCTGTTTATAATAAGAAGAATTTTAAGAACTGCTCTTTTTTTTTCTTTTTTTTTTTTTTGTTGTAATAAGAAAAGTTCAAAAATTGATATTTATGCATGGTTAGGCTATATATGTGGGGATCAACTCAACTTATTTTGGAGAAATTTACTGTATAATGTTTTATCCATTTTTATTAGCTTTCAACCCATTTTAGAAAATTAAGTGAGTTCATTTGCACCAATTGGTCTAAGCTGCATACTTATGCAGCTAGAAAAGCTGCAACAGAAGCCCAACAACCCAAATGCACAATGAGACTTTATAAAACTCAGGCCCAATAAATGGCCTTACTTTTAACCATTACTTAATTTACCTTAAAGCTGAAAAACTGAATAATTAAAAAACTCTTCATTTACATGCTACTCATTCTCTCTCCTCTTCATAATTTTCTCTCTCTAAAAACTGGAGAATCGCCATGGATATTCGATAGGAGCATAAAATTGACCAGAAATCTCCCAAAATAAGGTAAAATTTATTTGAAAATTACTTTGAATTTTATGGTACTATATATATTAAAATTGAGTACTTAATATGATTTTATTGTAATTTTTTCAAAATTCATGGATTGGATTTATATAACTTATATGAAATTATATAATTTGTATGAGATTCTATGAACATTGTTTTGATTTGTTCAAAATTACTTGTACTCGGTTTAATTTGTGTAATTGTGTAATTCATGAATTTTCATATTTTACGAACTATGCTCTCTTTCTTTATGTAGAAATAAAAAAAAAAAAAAAATAACAATTACAGATAATCTAGAAGTGGAAGTATGTGTAAATTAGTAATTGTTACATTGTTGATAATCTAGAATTTGAAAAACAATGTAAGGAAAATCTAAGTAACAAGTATGTCCAATAATTTGTTGATGCTTATGTTCATTTTTTTGAAACGTAATATTCATAATCTTTGAATTTCCTTTTGTTCATTCTTTTTATCTAGAATTTCATTTTGTCAAGTATAGTAACAAGTATCTAGTCTATTTATTTTTTTAATGCATATATTGATTTTATCAACATCTTGGGTTCATTTTTTTTAAAGTGTATGTTCATTTTAAAACATCATATGTTCATTCTTTTTTTTACAAGTATAATCAAATATGTTCAATATTTAATGCTTGTATGTTTTTTTTTTTTTTTTTTTTTTTTTTTTTTTTATGCATATTGATATATTATCAGTATACTTTATGTCCATAATCATTTAACTTTAAGTTCATATTTTTTTTGCTTCATGTTTGTAATATTTTAATTAATTACCTATAGCTCATATAAATGTAGTGTTTATTCGCTGAAGCAGATGTAGATATACATATCAAATCTTTTTAAGTGTAGGTTTGTGATTTAAAAACTAATTATGTAAGTTTTTTTAAATATTCATTTATAAATTAAACGTGTGTTCATTTTTTAATCTTATATGTTCAAATACTTAATTAATTTGTTCATATTTTTGTTTTTCAGACCGATCAAATTAGGAAGCTTAGGGTGAGAGATTGTGCTGAAATTATACTAAAGTAGCACAAATAAAGAAGGACATAGAGTAAAGATGGCTGCATGAAGGACTAATTGAGATTGCTTTTATGTTGCGATTGAAATAATAAATTAATTACTTTAACTTGCAAAACAAGCGTGATTTTCATTTTTTTTATGTATATATATTTGAGATTAAATTAGGACAAGTGTTATAGTTTTCATTTTTTTTTAATAAACAGGTGTGGTTGCAAACTGTTATCTTAATACATTTGGGATTATGTTCATATATATCGTACTAGTTGTTTATCTTTCTTGTCTATTATGTTCATATATTATTTGTTTAGTTTCATAATTTATGATGATTAAAATCTAAAAATAATATAAACATAAATCTTAAAATTGTAAAGATGTATAGAATGGAACTTCATAATACTTTAACAATTTATTGTTTAATATAAAATATATAACAATTATTAAAAATTGAAAAATCTAAAGATTAATTGTCTTGTTAAACATTGTTTACATTTCATTGTAATGTGAACCATTAGAAGATCCTTCAACATTAGACCCTCCATTCCTTGCAATACCCCCAACATCAAATGCTATAAAAAAATTACAAAACATTCGTCTGACCAACTCTTCGTATTTTCCCCTTCCTTATACTAACCAAACTTAAAGGCATAATCATATCATTATACATATCATAGGCTTCTTCATCACTTCTTACTTGCTACCTCAATAATTCTAACAACACTTTGCCTTCAACAAATACAATTGCATATGTACTCACTGAAATATATATAATAAATAGCAGTGAATGTTAAGAAATTTTCATAATCATCACAACATATGCTCATAATAAATGTTCAAAATATACATAATATATATTCATCAAAACATATTAAAAATATAAATATCACTCTATATGTGTTTATAATTAGCACTACAAATGTTCATAATAAATAACTAAACACATACGTTCATAATAAATATATAAATTGTTCAGATATTCAACATTAAATGTTCAGATTTTTCATTTCAACATATTATTATTCATCAAATCAATAATTTTGAACTTTATCACCAAATGACATTCATCTATCATAGATTCAAAAATTGAATTAATAATCAAATAATCACAATAAAAAAAAATGAACATTTAGTGTTTAAAAATGAACATGTCAAAAAGTTATGAACATTTAGGATATTAAAAATGAACATTATTTTCAAATAGGTTCAAATTCATTGTATATAATTATTAACGAAAAATAAAGATAAAATAAATTGTTTAAAATATGTTCATATATATATCTACTAGATATTCATTTTCGGTGTACTAAATGTTCATTTTGTACTAGGTGTTCATTTTTAAATTCCTACGTGTTCATTATTTATTTATTTATTTAATTATTTTACAGAAATTATGCTCAAGTTCGATTGTAATTATTCAAACTCTAAAAATTTGAATATACACCTTATATATAATCTTGATTCATCAAGAAAATAATTATTGATTTGTAACATGATTGAATTAGAAATCAAAAGAATACCCAAAAAAGAGAGAGAGAGGAGAGAGAAAATGACTACAAATTAAGCAATTCAATTAATATTTATTAAAAATTAAGCAATTTAATTGATATTCATCATAAATTCATTAAATTTTAAAATAATCAAACAATAAATCATCATATCAATGAAATTATACAAATTACAATTACAAATTGATAAAATCTAACCTCCATTTGTTTTCTTTGACCTTCAACTTTCTCTCTCCTCCATTTTTCTCTTTCCTCTTCAATAAAGCCAATTAATCGAATATGAAGCTCATAGATTTAGAAAGAGAGGATTCAATCCATCAAATCACAAATCACTAACTCTAAAAATCATAAAAACGAAGAAAAATCACGTGGAAAAATAATGTTGATCAAGGAACTCAAGGAAGAATGTTGAGGAAGAAATAAGGAGGATAAACAAAGGTTTCGTTTTGTTGCAAAATTGCTACGTTTGGAGGGTGATGCAGAGCTATCTTAGCTGCATAAGAATGCAGCCAAAAATGTGCCCATTTGCACCCCCTTACTATGCTATGGCTCCGCCTTTGTTAGGATCCTCAAGAAATCCTTCGAAAAATAAAATTGAATATAACTAAGGAATTGAACGTAATAGCCTTTTTTTTTTCTTTTTTCCTTTCTTTTTTTTATTTTTTTTTATTACAATTAATAGCCAATTAATATAACTAAGGGATTTTTCTATGTGGTTGGCCACACCGTGTGGCCGGAGTTACTTGAGCTACTCCTGACCGAGTAACCCCTAACCTAGTAACCCCTCGAGTAACCCCTGACCGAACTCCTCAAGTAATCCCTGATCGAGTAACCCCTTATATAACCCATGACCGAGTAACCCCTCGAATAACCCCTGACCAAGTAACCTTTGACCGAATCCCTCAAGTAACCTTTGACCGAATCCCTCAAGTAACCCCCAATCGAGTAATTTGAGTAACCCCAGCCACACGGCGTGCCCAGCCACTTATAAAAATTTGCTTTTTTTTTTATTTTTATTTATTTCGCCATATGGAGTAATACTTTCCAAATAAGGTTAGAAGGTTTCTGACTTTGATTTTAGTCCCTAATCTCTACTTATAATAATAATAATAATAATAATGATAATAATAATAATAATAATAATTATTATTATTATTATTATTGTTATTATTATTATTATTTAAGTTAAAGTTAACAACATTCATAACTCGACTAAACTAAACTAATTAAACTAAATTCTGCTTAGTATTGTTTATTTGTGTAACATTATTTTTATTATTTTTATTATTTTATTGAACAAAACTGACTTTTATATAACTTAACCACTTATGTAAAACAATTAGTGTTCCTCTTATAATGTATATTGTGAAATCGGCTTACTTTACTTTGTTACACTAATTAATTACATAACTAGTGAGTAGCCCGAGCATTGTCCCGGGTTGCTTTAAAGGCTTTTTAAAATTGTAATTGTTATTGTCAAATTAAAATTGAGTTTTTTTTTAGTATATTTTATTTTAATTGAACCTTAAGCTTTGCACTTATATAAATTTTTTTACATGTTAATAACATACTTGATAATTGGCTTAGATGGTAAAATGATTATTGCTCTTATAGGAGGTTGAGGGTTTGATCGGTATTTTTTTTATTGTTAACTATTCGATTCTGTTACTAACAGAATAACAGATTTTCTTAAACAAAAGTCGGCAAAGAATTTTTATACTGTACTTTTTTTTTTAAGTAAAAATCAAGAAATGGCTTTTTATTTTTATTTTTTTTAAGAAATCAAGAAATGCTATTTTCTGTTTCTTGATAACTAATCCTAACTGCCATACTATTTCCTCTATATATAAGCATTTTTATTCCTTCATTTTACAACTATCACATCCCACAAAACTATCATCAATATACATCAACTAGCGTACTTTAGTGAATCCAAAACTCCATAAAAAATCATCAAAACTCAGTTTGAATCATCCCTTTTCAAACCCAAATCATTTTTCTTGTTCTGTATTGTTGTTAGTAATGGCTTCTTCAAGTAATGATCCAGTTGTCGAGACGGATCCGAGTGGGCGATACAAAAGGTACAAAACGATCATAAGAGAAAGTGCTACGAAGAAAGTATACAACGGCATTGATGGTGTTACTGGTAAGGTAATTGCTTGGAGTAAGATAGAATTAACAGCGAAAACGTTAAGGAACAAGAACTTGCTCGAGCGTTTGTGTGCAGAACCTCAACTGTTGAAGTCATTGAGGCATCAGAATATAGTGAGTTGCTTCCATTCTTGGATTGGTGATAAAAAGGAATACATTAACATGATTACTGAGGATTTTCCTTCGGGTAATATGGGAGAGTATATCAGGAAACATGAAAAAACTGATATAAGCGCGATCAAGAATTGGTGTACACAGATTCTTAAAGGTTTGGATCATCTTCACAGGCATGATCCCAAGATCATTCATCGCGATCTTAACTGTGATAACATATTTGTTGATGGAAGCTCGAGCATTGTGAAGATCGGAGAATTGGGTCTCGCGCTGATTTTTGAACAGGGGGATACTACTGTACAGAGTTTTTCTTGCAGACCTGAGTTCATGGCACCAGAACTTCTAGAAGGATATTATTATAATGAGCTGATTGACATTTACTCGTTTGGGATGTGTGTGCTTCAGATGGTTACTCGGGAAAGACCATACAGCGAATACATTTACAAGTATCATATTCGTGCAAAGGTTAAGTCTGGTGAAAAGCCTGCCGCACTAAGCAGAGTGACAGATCCTGAGGTTAAGAAATTCATTGAGAAGTGTCTGAGTCCTGCATCTGACAGACCCACAGCAATTGAACTCTTGAATGGTCCGTTTCTTCAACCGAGGCCAGATAGATTACAAGTGCAACCTAGGCCTTTTACGTTGAGAGGGAAATCTTTGGGCACTGGTCCTTTTGAGATGGCGTTGATTATTGCTAGTGAACAGCCGATTAAATTTGATTTCCCGGTCAATGATACAACTCAGGAAGTCATGAAGAAAGAAGGCTTGTCAGCAAGAATGTCTGATGCAGAATTGTCACTGGTTTCTGAGCTTGTGGAAAAATTGAAAACAGAACTGAGTTCTTCAGATGTTCCCCGGAAAAAACTACTTCAGATAACAAGTGAGAAGCGCGAGGTCAGCCCAGTTTTTCGAATGACCACTGAGCAGGTGTCTGAAGTTAGGGATATGCAAACTGATTGAGTTGACAGTAAAAGTCTAGCTTGTCTTTGAATAGCAAATCAGTGTCGTAGATCTTTCTTTACTCATACAATTTCTCTGTTAGACGTAGCCAGTAGTATAGATTTTTCTGGACATTTTTAAAGTCAAATCCTTTGGTTGTAAGTTGTTTTGTGGACAATTAATAAAAGAACTCTAGGTTTGTTTGGTTGGTTTATTTCTTCTCACTCGAAAACTTGTAGTTCCACGTTCTTCTATGTTAGTGACACTTGTAATTTACTATGATTGCATGTCGCTGAGAATATATTACAAGTTTACAACTCCTTAGTTGACTGACTCGTATATCGAAAAGCATTATCATACTTGCATAAACAAATATTGTATGACTACCAGATCTTATGCATTCTATCTTAATGGTAAACAAGGAGAATCCTTTAATAAGGTGTTTTGGAAAAGCTTCGTTCAAATCTCAATTTCTAACCCAAATCAATGTCTGTAACAATGTCTGATCTGAAGTGACTAATATGCTTCAAAGGAAGTACCCACATAAGGATGAGTGTTTACTGTAGAACCTGAGAACAGCTTCAGAGGCAGAGGAGGTGACAAAGGAGGCTGAAGAGGAGCAGGAGAAGAAGCAGCAGGTCTTCTAATGGGACCTTCTGTTTGTGAGCCCCTTGCAATAACTAATGACTTAAGAAAGCTTAGTTTGGGGTAGTTATTGAAGAAAAACAACATGATGTTGACAGTCAAATTGAGGTCTTTGAGGATATATCTTTACAAGGATCAATTTACATTCAGTAGTTTGGGTATTATCGTTTTAGAGACTGGAGAGGAATAACGCACATCTGAGTTATCCGATCAGTCTGATTCATACCTTTTTTGTGATAATTAACTAACTCATATACGTCTTACCTACAGGATTGTCATACACCATCATACTCTGAGTTTTTCAAACAAAACTATGTGAAATTCACACGTTATGGCAATTGTAGTTGTACCAACGAACACCACCCGCACCACTGCAGTGCAGCACAGACACAGTCGTCTCTTTTCCTTGTTTTTTCAATAACCAACTTTTTTCCCAATCCAAGGAATAAACATGAGGATTTTGCATATGGCCTAGGGGCTAGACGGAACTACCTCGGATGCTATAGGTAAAATTTGCATCAATCTTGGGAATAACTTTACAAAACAGACTTTTAATGAAGACTCAGCCTAGCCGAACTGTGGTGCCCTAAACCTGCTCTGACTTCGGTTAGTTGATCGGCCAATTATGATGCTTAAAACGGCACCAACTTCACACCTTGGGCTACTTAGGACTCTTTCTAATGTATTCACCTCGCACACACTCAAACTTTGGAACTGTTCACATCTATACACATTAGAATTGAGATTATTCTTGTTCAATTGGTAAGAGTTTAGAGTATTTAGATTAAATCTATGTATAATCAAACATGGGGAAAATACATAAACATGGAAAATATATACTCCCTCCGCCCGCAATTATCTGCAACATTTACCTAAAATGGGTGCTCTATATTATTTGCAACAAATTTTTTTTCTTTCCTTTTTGGGTAATATTTAACTATCAATTACCCACTATTACCCACTTTTTTGGTTAGTGGTCCTCTCCACCACCTATTACCCACTAATTAAAACCCACTCAAAACAAAAATTAAGTGGGACTACTCTTTTTCCCTCCATTTTCAACCTTAATTAAACCCACCAAAGCTCAATTAGAACTCCCCTAAAAGTTTTGCCCAGGAGTCCGAAATATTGTCCTTTGTTGCAGATAACCTCGGGCGGAGGGAGTAAATGCTTTCAATGACAGTTGTATATTTAACCTTATAGGAGCTAAAAATGCAGAGGTAATAGCAACCAACAGTTTGAATTAAATTATCACTGCATTGAAAGGGGAAATTTCTGATGTTTGATGATAATCACAATGAAGTGTATAAATTGTACCGAAAAAAAATAAAAAATAAATAAATTGTATGAACTGTAAAAAGTAGAATAAAAAAATTAAAGATATGGCGTAATTTAGCTTATTCTAAATCTACAACCCCGAATTGGAGAGAATGAGTTATACTGATGAAAGAAGTCAGATCCAGGTGCATACTCTATCAGCATCCCAACAGCACAGCAAATCCAAACATTGCTGTTTGTAATATGATGAACTCATGGCAGTACATCAGAAAGGCGCAGTTGTTAGAGTTCATCCTAGTATAATTGTTGTTAGAATTCATCCTAGTATAATTGTTGTTAGAGTTCATGTTCTGATGTACAGCCCATCCTAGTATAATTGTTGTTAGAGTTCATGTTAATGTGTGACTGGGTAGCGTTTAGCCCAGCAACGTGCTGGACCAGCACACCATTTTTTTGAATATTAAATGCTCTTGGTAAGCCCATGTCTTGTATGGTGTGTATTTTGTACATATGAACTTGTATGCTCCAAATTTATACATCATTGCACGATTTCCAAGATAATTACAATTGGTTGGTCTGTTATTTTGCAAATGTGGTTGATTTTTCCAAGATCATTACAATTGGTTGGTCTGTTATTTTGCAAATGTGGTTGATTTAATTCATCTAGAGAGAATCTAGGGTTCTTCATTTTAATCTCCATCTCGTTGAGCTAAGCTACCCCATCTTCATTGGTTTTTCTTTCTCGTTCAATCCCCATCTTCTTCAGCCCCCCATCTTATTGTCTCCTAATTTGTTGTCTGAATAATGAAGGGTTTTGGGATTAAAGATGAAGGTCTAAAATGGATAATTAGGGTAAAAGCCCGTCAATTGTGAGCGGATTTAAGAAATAGTGGTGGAGCAACGACGACTGGGTCTTTCGACATCTACGCAATGGAGCTGATTGAGAGTGATTGAGGCTAGAACTAAATTGGCAGGAAGTAGGTATGTTCAATGACTCTATAGTTGGGATTAAATTTGATTCTTGGATTTGTGCATATTTGGAATTGGGGTTTGGTTGAAAGTAATGACATTTACAATTGTTATTTTGGATTTGTAACATTTATTTGATTAGCTAGTGACACAAATGACAATATTATTTATAACAAATGACAATATTATTATAACAAATGTCAATATAAGACAATATAGGTTACTTGACATTATAGGTTAGGTTATCAACATTAATTTTGCAATTTATATTTTGTCTAAAATGACAATATAAGACATACAAATGCCATTAAAGTTGGAAATTAAAGTAGGATAATTTTAATATTAGTGGAATTATGGATTGTGATGCATATGGGTTGTTTTTATACATACCTGGCTTGTTATGATGCATGTGATAGATGATATTAATTGTTAAAAATTAATTGTTAAGGATATGAAATTGCATGATTTAAAAGATGAGAAATTGCATAACATGTTAATTGATGTGGAAAAAAAAGATTATTAAAGGTTGAGGCAGTGATGATAAGTTCAGAGGTTGCAGAAGATATTTGTGTATCATTGTCTTATAATGAGGAAGGTGGTATAATGGATTTGATAAACTTTGAAGAAGGGGAAGGGGAAGGGGATGGTGATATTGGTGAATTATGTCCATACGAAGGTGGAGAGGGGATGGATGGAGATGGAGGTAATATGGTGAATCTGAACATAGTTAAAATAGACCCTCTTGAAGTGGGAAAGACTTTTGATACATGGGAAAAAGTTGATATGTAGTATAATGCTTTTGGCAAGCAGGAAGGGTTTGGTGTGGTTCTTGGCCAGAGTGCATACAAGACTCTGAAAGATGGTCGCAAGGTTAAACGCGCTGTTACATGGAAATGTGAGTGTGCAAGTTTGCCAGACACTCGAAGGAGGATTGGTGGTACAAGATTACCTAGGGAGTTGGAAGGGGAGCCGATTGCAACAAAGAAGTCGAAAAAATGTGGTTGCGAAACTGGGATGTATGCAAGTTTAAAGGAACATGGTAAGTGGGAGATAGTAAGAAGGGAGTTGAAACATGAACCCCATAAGGTATCACCTTCAAAATCAATGTTGGTGACAAAATATAGGTTGGAGGATTTGGAAAAAATGTGGTATGTGAGGCGTAAACTGCATTTTGGAGACGATGTGGGGATGCCTGCTGCTACAATGCACAAGTGGTTGGCTAGTGAGAGGAATGAGGTTGAGAATATGCCCTTTACTAAGAAGGATGTGAGTAATTTGATATCAAGGGAGAAGAAGCTGAAATTGAAGGATGGGGACACCAATTCCATGATGAATTATTTCCAAATGATGCAAAAGAACAACAAGAATTTCTACCACATACACCGGGTGGATGCCAACGGGGTATTGCAAGATGTGTTTTGGGTGGATGCGCGTAGCAAAACTGCATATGAGGATTTCGGTGATGTAGTGTGTTTTGATATGAATTTTTGATGAATAAGTACGACTTGCCCTTTGCAAATATTGTTGGGGTAAACCTTCATGGCCAAACAATATTACTTGGATGCGCTCTCATATCCTACAAGGACACTGAAACCTTTACGTATGTATTTTGTTATGCTTTATATACCTCTTTATTATATATTTTTTTTCTTTATTTTCAATTGTATATATGACAAGATTTTGCATTTTATTTATATATTTATAGTAGTTACTTATTAAATTTGGTGTATATATATGTTAACAGGTGGTTGTTCTCCACTTGGCTAGATGTCGTTGGTGGTAAACCTCCCGTTGCTATCTTGACGGATCAAGATCCCGCTATGCGCAAAGCTTTGAAAGCAGTGATGCCACAAACAAGACATAGATGGTGTTTGTGGTACATCACAGAGAAATTTGGGAGCAAGCTAGGCAAGTGTAGAGGGTATGCTGAGTTCAAGAATGAGTTAGAAAATATTATCTATGATAGTTTATTTTTAGAGGAGTTTGAATTGAGGTAGAAGGAGTTTATAGTGAAGTATAAACTTGAGAGCAACCTATGGCTAGCTGGTTTATATTCAGAGAGAGAAATGTGGATTCTAGCTGCGATGAAACATTTATTTTGGGCTGGAATGAGGACGACCCAGAAGTCAGAAAGCATTCACAATTTTTTTGATGAATTTTTTGATAAAAACACAAGACTCTGTGATTTTGCGGAGAAGTATGTTGCTGCAATGGAACAACGTATCCAGTCGGAAAGGTTGGCAGATGCAAATTCGGCTGTGTACCATCGTGGGTTAGTCACTGATTTTAGGATTGAGGAGATCTTCAGGAATTTTTACACAGATGCAAAGTTTGTGGAGGTCCACAGGGAGTGTAAACGGATGATGTGCTGCAATGGCAGCACCATGAGAGAGATATCATAAGGTTACTTTGAACACTTGATAGTTGACAGAGTTTATGTTTGGAGGGATTTTGATAAGAAGGAAAAGCCGATTAACAAGTTCCGTACTTACCGTGTTATATTTTTTAGTGACAACAAAAGTGTTGAATGTGAATGCAAGTTGTTTCGGGGTTTTTTGGAATCCTTCGGGATACAGGTCTTGAATATAGCCGGACGGTCGCGGACACCTGCAAAACAACGAATATTTCGTTTGACGGAATATTCGCCTCCAACGATCAAGTTAGTGATTGGAAAGCAAAGTAAATTTAGAGAGAGAAAGTAGAGAGAAGTTGGAGAAATTTAATACTCTTGAATGATATCTCTCTATCCACCCCTGCCATCATAAATGATTGGGGTATTTATAGGGTGGGAGTGTGTGCCATCTAGAATTTGGTGATCTAGAATGGTGTGCTTTGATTGGCGGCGCAATCAAATAAGGAAAAGTGTCCTATGGGAGTGCCGTTTTAGCTAGCGCCTTTCTCGGGATTTGGGCCTCCTGATATAAGGAGGCCTTTCTCTCATTCAAATGCTCTCTTGTTTGTCACGTGCACTACTACATTTTTCACCTATTGCAACCCCTAAATCCGTTGCATTAGGCGTCAAATTCCGTGGCATTATGCCTAATGCAACGGCCATGTACCGTGGCATTTGCTGGCGTTGCAGTAGGTCTATTGCAACGGTATACAACACCTAATACCACGGTAGCTATAATCCGTTGCGATAGCTCTACACCTAATGCCACGATATAAATTATCCGTTGCAATAGATTACTTACTACTAATTGTGATGAAATTGACACCTATTGCAACGACTGAAGCTAATTAATACAAATGATATATGGAGTACGTATCTACTGCAACGGATTGATCATTTGATCTTTTTTTTAATTGTACGGTAATTTAATATATGTATAAATATTCAGTACAAATCTAAATATACTAAGAAACAAAATATCATTAAATTTATATAAAATAATTATAATGCTAAATACGTACATTATAAAATATTAGTTGCTTGTTTTTTGTATGACACCCTACTATTAATAAATAAAAGTTATATAATTAATTTAATCCTCCAAAATACAAATTCTCAACATATATATAAGCTGGAATTTCCAAATCTTCACAAAGTTGAGCTTGAATAAGAGTCGCCAACGTATATGCACCATTTGTTCCGCTCCATTTAGCACCCCATGCACCTACACATAAAATAGAATAAAGTAATATAAATATAATAGAACAAAATTATAAACTATACTAGATCAAGGCCACAATCAACATGAGAAAAGTTCAAAACGCATGGAGAATTCAGCTATACAGTAATACTAAAGTTAGACCGCAGGCCACAACAGCAGCACCCTAAAGCCAATACAGGCAGCAGCCAACCCAAAACCAAACAAAAACACAACAGGCACAAACAGGCTGCAAGCAGGTAGAACCCTGAACCAGAGCTGCTGATCTGCCACTATCAGATCCAACACCGAAACCAAACCAGAAGCGAAAACCAACAGCAACCATAAGCCAAATAAGGAGGGCACACACCAAGCACATCTAAAAAACAATAAACCAGGGCACCCAGCTATCCATACAACGAGTAAAAACAGCTCCCATCCCTTTCACATCAATTTCCCCTATTTTACAAACTTTCAAGAATGCAATATCTTCAGAAGAACAGCAACTAAGTCTACTGTCCCTATAACCATTTTTTACCAACAAAATTGGGTGTTTGGATCAAAATAAAGACAAATTTAGAGCACTAGATGTCCTATAGTTATCAAAAGCAACATAACAACCAACATAAACATCCCAACATTGCAATAACACAGAAGCTTAAAGAAGTCACATTTTGACATTGATCTAAGATTTTTTTTATTGTTTATATATCTTGTCATTGTTTTCCAAGCTTCATTATGAACATTTGTCAATTTATGCTTGCCAAAATCAATTAAAATTAAAGTTAGCCATGTATACAAAATCAAAGATCCTAATGCTCTTTTTATATATAGATAATAAAACAAGAGAATAAACCAAAAAAAAAAAAAAAACTTAATTAAAATTGAGTAGGATAACTACTATACATGCAACAAAATTATACAAAACCAAGCAAAGTATTTCAAAGTGATAAATTGTCTTTGTCAAGCTTTATCTTCGTATTACCATACCCTGTGAACTCATATCCAATACGAACATTAACAATACTCCAATATCTCTAAAAACAAACTCAAAGAAAATTAGTAGCAAGAATGGCCTGATCAACTATAATTATTTAAATAGAATGGAAAACTGATTTTACAAACCATGTGTCTTCCACTCTTTTTTTTTTTTCAGAGTAACCCAAAAGGCCAACATATTCAATATTCACAACTTTCTCATGATACACAACGCTAACAGTAGGAAAAATCTTCAAACAAGAACCCGGTAGAGGAAATAATTTCTAATATACATTGCATCAGACCACTAAATAATGTTCTGCTACCCAAGTATTAGCTCTTTTTTTTTTTTTTTTTTTTAACTTTTATCACTTCATACTATAAGTCTACAAGATGCAATTATTCACAATAATGTTGGCAAAAGAGCATTAGCTCAAATAAGTGGTCTAGAAAGAAATGTGACAAAGAACTAGCCGAAATCAGAAGCAAGCATCGTAGCCTACAAAGGGGCACCTTAAAATTAAAAATTTACAAAGTCAATTACAATTCGTAGTAAAATAAAAGGCATTTAATTGAAAGGCCATATATTTTTAAGCATCCTAGATTTGACCTGACAATAAATCATCTATAGAACAAGAAATAGGCCATTAGAAAGACAGATGCATAAGTATGTCATAAGTTTTGACTAAAGAATTTCAGTGGCTCTCCGGCTATTAAAATTTATAATTTACAATTTACATAACAATAGACAGTAGAGACAACAACACCCACAACAATATCAATATTAAAGGCTAGATATCAATAATAACAACTACAACAATAACAATGGAGGCTACAAAAAAAATTTATCATCACATTCTAGATTTACACCATAAACTTTTAAACCCAATTTCCCAAAACCAATCTACGAATTCAAATTAGCTCAAATCATAGTCAATTATAATACCACCTATCACTCAAATTAATTCACAAAATCATGCATAAATGAATAAAAATCGACATTAGACCGTGCGAATCAAATCAAAGCTATAAAATAATCCAAAAAGAGATTAAAAAAATGAAGAGAAAGATTATACTTTCGCTTGCGAGTGACGGGAGATCTACAACCAAAGCAACGACTTTGCTAAAGAGGGAATGGTGAAAGCCACACCTCACACACAAAGTGTGTCTCCTCCTCCATTCACTTCCTTTTACAAAACCATATTCAACAAATAATTATCTATTTCCTAGAAACTTTTGATCTTCCATTGATAAGGTAGAAGAGAAAAGGTAAAGACCTTCAATAAAAATTCTCGACAGTGATTACATATATTTTGGTCGTTATCGGCCCTTTCCTATCCTAATTCCTCAATTTTCATCTACAATTTAAACAGATCTAGAAAGGGGAGCTCCATTTTCAAAATAATTAATTTTTAGAAAAATAAATTATAGAGCACAATATTTTAGAATTGCAAATAATCAACTAAGACCACAGTATAACGAGTTCTATGCATAACTATTAACCAAACAACGAACAAAAAAAAAAAATTCAACAAAATTATGAACGGATAAAAGTATAAAATTGGTAAATAACCACAAAATCGAAATCCACTCCATATATAACACCAAATTAAGACAACTAGATAAAAACCAAAAATTAATTTAACTTATGAACAAGGTAAATGACGAAATTAAAGTCTTATTAAAAAAAATATGGCGGAATTAACGAGACTCAAATCAGTGAACTCACCAATTTTACTAGTTGATATTGGGGCTAATAGCCCATAAAATGAGAAGAAATAACGATATTTTCCTTGAGATTTGGGCAATAGTAGAAATCACAAGAATTTGAGTGGAAGAGAAGGAAACAAAGAAAAGAGAAAACTTATAAAAAGAACTCAACCCAAATTTCTTATGAATAATAATTGATAGGAGAAGCATGTGAAATGTTTTATTTTCATTCTGCATATGCAGGTAGTTGCATCGATCAACAATGAGAACTTAAATTTTCAAGTTAGGAAAGAAGACAAAAGTGTTGAGATAGAAATCAGAAAAAATCAAAACAGCAGCTCTTCAATGACAATATCAAGAAGCAAGCCATTTTCAGGTACATGCAAGATGCTTTATCAGCTAATAAACAACCAACACAACCAATAGAATATTGTTCATCTGGTATTTGCTTAATAGTGTTGAAATTAAAGCAAAAAATTTCATCAGCTTAATTTGTTCCTCATAATTTAGCAAGCATTTTAAATATGTGCAAAGTTCTGAACCATTACATGCCATATAAAGACTGCAAAATCTTCTTAGTCAATAGACCTCTTCAACAAAAATAATGCCATTAAATACAATCAAATACCAAGAATGAAACAAGAAAAATCAAAGCCAAATACATACTGAGGAACAGAAATTACTAGGCCTAAGGTATTAAAGAATAAAGAAGCTATATTTTCCTTTCCAAACTAGCCAAGTCAAACTCCTTCCAAAATACAAAATCATTTCCTCCAAACCCATTCAAACCAAGCAAAGCCTCAGTATATTTACTCTGCTCTATTCTAAATTCATCTGTCTAATATATGCAAACATATAAATACATCGATTATAAATTTGAATCAGCAAATATGTTCAGCCAATGTCCAATGATCATTCCATAGTCTATACTATATACCTAAATGTTTGACAAGAACAGATGGATATCAGATCAATTACAGCATTCCATAATCAGCATCGTTCTCGTGTTCAACTATCTAGTTAACAGCACCCTCAAGACTGGAATTACCTGAACATAAGAGCCACATTATATGATAGTAGTCCGTGCAATTGAGAATCCCATTCCTTCAAGTTCCTGATGCAGGGCTTTATCAACCTCAGGGACAAACATTTCTACGAAATACAAACCCAAAATTGACATGTATAATCATGGTTTTGAAAAAGAGTTGAGAAGTATATAAATTTATAGAAAAAGTGGAATACCAACCTTGAGAATCAATGTCTATAGGAGCAGTAGAAGACGGTGATTCTAGAATAATAGGTTTAACGGATTCATAATTCTTATCTAAAACTTCAGTGTGGCCAGTTCTTTTGGTATGCAAATCACTCTCCTGATAAATCAAATTCATCAAATAAAAAAAACCCTAATTTGACATTGAATTAGAAAAATGGAAAAAAAAAAATCGGCCTCCAATTATCAAAACAAATAGTCAGAAACCGAAATTTACATACATATACATACATAAGAGAGAAACATGGAAAAAAAGTTCACACAAATAATTCACAGCTCACAAAAATGGATATAGCAATTAGAAATTCGTTGTTTACCTTGAAGAGAATTTCAAGCAATCAGCTCAAGGAAGGGACATGCAACAACAAAATTGGACCGTCTGTACCGCTTAACTGCCGCCACCACCGCCTGACTGCCGCTATCAGCCACCACCTTCGTCTTTTTCCTCTTCGAATTTTTGACTGATTTTTTTTCGTGATTTTATGAGAATAGGTACTGTCAATTTCTGGAGTTGAATGTGAGATGATGGGGAAAATAGAGAATTGGGGGAAATTGAGAAAATGGAGAATTGGGGGAAATTGAGAAAATGGAGAAATTGGGTGAGAAATCTACTGTGAGTCTGTGAGAATGAGTGGAGAACGAAAATGGGTGAGAAAATTGGGTGAGAAGATTGGGTGAGAAAATTGGGGTAAACATACATCACGTGTGTTTGTTCAAAATTTTGGTGAAAAAATTAGAGGGAACAATGCGCGCTTTATCTAAGCTAAAATTTTCATTTGATATAATACCACCGTTACAATAGCTTTTATTTTTGTTAAAATAGCTAGGCTATTGCAACGGTTCTTTAGAGTCGTGGCAATAGCTCTACCTCTAAGAGCATTAGTTTTAACTCCGTGGCAATAACCTACTCTATTGCAACGACAATAAAAATACCGTTGCAATAGGCTATCTATTGCCACGACATTTGCAAAGGGCGTTGCAATAGCTCATTTTGGGGCGTTGTATTTGATCGAAAATGTAGTAGTGGTGTCATATTTCTATTGGGACATGTGTCGCCCTGTTATTGGGCCACGTGTCTCTATAGGATTGGATCACGTGTAAGGGGTATTTTTACCCTTAACATTTTCCCCTTAGAGGGGGTGACTCGTACCATACGGGCCACCTCCTCTGATCTTCACTCGTCCAGGATCGTTCGAGTATCGGGCTGATGGAGCATTGTTTATTAAAAAGAGGCGGACTGTACCGTCCTGATTTCACTGGTGGACTTAAGTCTTAAAATCAGTCAGACGGATGGTGCCGCCTAATATCAGGTGGGACACCTGTTCCGCATTTCTCGGGCTAGTGGCTTGAAGTTGCTGACCTGGTCGTCTATTTTGACACGCCGTTTAGGCAAGTGTACGTCTTCCCCGTCTATATTGACGGAAAGGTTAAATTAACTGTTTGGGCTTCTAGGTTAATTTTTTCAAAAAAATAACCGTTTGAGCCTCTAGGTGGGAAAAGTGGTTTTACCATTTTGCCTTCATAAATTTGCCTATAAATAGGACTTGTTTGACTTCATTTTGTCACTTTGGAACTTTGCGAATTTTAGAGAGAGGTCAGAGCTTTTTAGAGAGAGAAAGTGTTTTTCCCTCACATCATCAAGAGCTCCGCCGTGCGTTAGAATTTTTCGTTCGAGTTTGTTGAATTTTCCGGTCAACCTTCAAGATCTTCAAAGTCTTTTTCAAGTTTTCTACTTGTACAGAGGTAACCGTCTGCTTTACTTTACTTTTTCCTTTTTTCATACTTGTTTTATTTTTTAAACACGAACTGGCACAATACTCAGCTTCGTCCGTTTCTCCTCATGAGGTCGGTCGTTTACCTGGGACTGAGGAGTCTAGAGTGGATGGAGACGACTCCTCCTCTTTTTGGAGTGGGTCCATTTGTAGTGCGTACCAACTTACCCCCAACTATTCTTCTCTTTCCCTACAGTCGAACATGACGCGTATGAGGCAAACATGCGAGTGGGGTGACCCTAGAAATCCGAACGATAGTATGGTGAATCCCTTAGTTCCTTTTGACCCAAGTAACCAGACGGGAAAAGTCAGGCGCCATAGTGTTAGTGGTAGTGCCTACTCTGTGGTGGAGGTGACCGCCTCTTTTCCTGAGCGGCAAGCTCAGCAAGGCACTTTCTCTCTCTTGCTCGCACTTTCTCTCTATTGCTCAACTTTCTCTCTCAAGCTTGAACTTTCTCTCTCTTAATTCCTTTGCCGAGTAGAAAATTTTCAGAAAAATTCTCATCAATACGCGCGGATATGAAATTTTCGTGAAAGTTTCATTCTTGGGTACGGACAGCATAACGGCCCCCGTTTTGCTTACCCAACTGGCCCCCCCAATTAAAGTAGTGAAAATACAACATTGCCCCCACTTGCTACTAATTAGACCCTCTCCACTTTTAATTTAGTCCCCCTCGAAATAAACCCCCCCCCCCCCACCCCCCCACCAAAAAAATCCCCATTATTCTTTATTTCTCAAGTTAACTAACAATACTCAAAATTGACATATGACAACAGTCAGCACTTACCAGAGTTAAGGTATTTGCTAGTGCCTCATCTCTAGTCCAACTTTGACAGGATTGACAGCCCCTTTTGAAGTTTCTGCGCAAGGAAGGCAGGAATGCACAAACAAATGTTAAGCACTTAAGCTTAGTATGAAACAAAGAGAATAAAACTTCCTAATCTTGGGCAACATAAGTGAAAATTAGCAACAACAAATCAATAAATTTCAATTCACATACAAAGCAAGGAAAATACCGATTGTAAACTTGAAACTTGCTTGTAAAGGTTTGATGGAGTATTGAATGAAATATACATGACATCCAATAATGGGAAAACTTCTTGAACTATGAGGTTTTAGCCTAGAAACTGCACAGGAGAAGCAAATCAATATCTCTGGGGAGAAGAAAGCCTTGTTCACAAATGTTTCTGACAGTAATTTGATGTTATAAGCAGCAAAAAAATCCACTAATAAATCAATAGTCAACAAAATATCATTCCATAGCAACAAATCTTCCAAAAAATATAGAGGAAATCAAAAAAAAAAAAGAAAAAAAAAAGAAAAGGAGGGGGCTATTTTAGAGAGAAATTCAATAGGTTTCATATCAATCATGAACCAATCAGCAAAAACAACAGTTGAAAAAGAGTTGACCGCATATAACCCAAGCAATTCTCAACACATGTAAATTGTATACAACTACTATGAAGAAGTCAAGAAACTATCAAGATTCCATTTGTAATTAAGACCACAAAAGTCGTATAAACCAAATTCAATTTGAGTCAATTACAGCATAACCTCAAGACCAAAACATTTATGAAATTGTGAACTCAAACTATATACATACCTTGAGCCGCAATTTCACTTCTCCTGGTGAGGTTAGTATGTCAACCTTTTACCTTTTTTTTTTTTTTTTTTTTTTTTTTTTCGACTAAGCTCAGAGCTGTGTAGGTAGAAAATAAAAGGAACATAACGACGCAGAGTAAACTACTCCGTTTGAAATGATAAAACCAAACAAAGCTGACGCCACCTAACTAGGCAGAAGAAAAGATGCAATTGCCCCTGTTATATAGAACAGTGCTTTTCACTGTCAATGATGAAAAGGCCTCTTAAATCCACACATTCCCTCTTTGCATAAAAAAAGAAAATCCTGAACGTTTACATACGAGAGAAATCTAAAGCCATGGACCTTAACACATGGTCATTCATAGCTGTTATACTTAATAATACTGAGTAAAGGAAAGAGACAGCATAATCAAATAGAGAAAAATACAATGTCCTGAAAGGAGTAAATTCTCGATATGAGCTCAACAAGCTAAAGCGAGGTTATACAGGATTCTATGTTACATCTGAGAGTTGATGAATATTATTCCTCTGACATTATTATGTATTGAAACCAACTTGACTTAATAACCCTTCTTGCAGGAATTCATCATTCTTCCTAATGCTAGAGAGTTAATGCATGAAAAGCCGATGTCCTGAGAGAAATAATCCCACCACTATAGCTGTACAAGATACTTCACTTATTCAGGCTTCACTGGTGCATCTGCAAGTTCATGAATTTCTTTTTTGCTCTTGACTGAACACCTTTTCTTTGTATCAAAATCAACACTATCCAAGTCTTCAGAAATCCCCATGTAGCCATAGAGCAGCCCATCCTCTACCTTTTCAACCGGATTATCTCCTTGTGCCAACTCATCAACTGGCTCAATTCCAGAAATTGCTTGTTCAAAATCAACTCTTCCATGCTTCCTCCCAAGAAATATTTTATGAAGCCTCTCTGCCTCTTGAAGACCAGAAAAAGTGCCCAAGAATTTCACCAAGATTACACTGTGATCACCAGGATTTCCAAGACAAATTTTCATCTTGCCCAGATGGAAACCCTTGACTGCATGACCAAAGTGAGATTAGTAATAGAATTAACAAAAAAACACCAAAAATAAAAATAAAAAACCCCTTAAGAATTCTGAAGTGCATTTACAGCAATTATGAATTATTATTTACATCCAAATATCACTATCAAAATATTAGATCTTCTAAAAGTATGAAAACCTATTGCCTTAAGAAAAGACCTCACTACCTTTCTGTGTATTACTCTTTGAAAAAAAGGAAAAAGAAAAAAGAAAAAAAGATAAGGAAAATAAACAAGACTGTTAATAAGGTGAATGTGGACATTTCCAACAGCACATGGCAATGAATTAAATATAGTAGTTTTCCAGTGATTAAATCACAAACCTCTTAGAAACTCTCCAAGTGCATCAATATTAATGAGCTTCCATTTGTTGTGATCATTATTTGACAATGAGATGTTGTGAACAATAACAATGGGGGGCCACAGTATAAGGTCCTCCTTCTGAGCCAAAGCTTCAGGTTTGGGAAGTAACTCTGGAACCCAGGTGCCTGAATTAGGGTCTGGCATGGTGTTCCATCCCATGAGAAAACAAATAGCTTTGTGGAGACCCAAGTGTTGCGGCCTCAACCCAACCTTGTAAGACATATAAGCATGAGTCGCCAAAGCCTTTGTATTTTGGAATTCTTTTGATGCACTGCAAGCAAAAAAGTTTCGATTGCCACATCATGCATAGATAAATAAATTACAAGGGTTCTCCCAGATCATTGCGGGAGAATATGGTAGGGGAAAAAATTTCACCGAACGAAATTACCCACAATTGTTATACCATCTACAATACTAAAGCATTCTACAGCATATTTAACCTCATGACTTGAAGGTTATGTGATCAAATCCCACTAGAGGCTCTTTGGGAGTGAGGATTCCCTTATCCTCCTCCCTCACTCCCAATGAGTCTGATCTACAAAGCTAGACTAGATTGGCCTACAAGAGGTGCCGGTTCATTAGGGTCCTTACCCTTATAAAAAAATCTGCGCAATATTTTACCATATACAAAGGGGAGAATATTTAGTGGAGACAAAAGTAAGTTCCCACAAAATATCCCCCCTGCCCCTACCAAAAAACAAATGCAAGCAGCAGTTATTACCACCACATTACCCATACAGATGTACCCAATACACGTGTCATCTCCAAAAATCACACCCTATTAAATCATAGAAAGCCTTAAGAATTAAACCGAAAAGTCTCTCCAAAAAAATCATCCCATCATCCAAGTAACACAAAGAAGACTGGTGGCAGACCTCATAGCTAAAGTACACACCCCCAAAAACATCGACAATCACCCAACCATTACCATTCAGTCAAACATGGGACAGAAGTAGTTAGTACCATAGCTATACATCATTTAGCAATGTAAATACCTAAATGGCATTGACGAAGAATAAGAATAACAAGATTGTAAATATTTATCTAGTTCGTGAAAGAAAAGACAGACCTTCGGCGACAAACAACGCAGAACAATCTACCAGCCTTTCCTTCCTCCTTGTAAAGCTTTCGAGCAGTTGGATTCTCATTAAATCTCTTGGAGAAGTCTAAGAAAGCTGCTTGTATCCTCTGCTTAAAACTATCAGAATCCTCTGAAGGATCAGACTTCCAAGGAGTTCCAGAATATTCTATTATGTCAGCAGTCTGTGCATGCATTGCTATATTATTGCCCTTATCATTTCTTTGCCTGAGATTTTGCTGCTTGTAGTGAGTATATCTTTGATGTGGATGGGAGATATGGTTGTAGCCTTTAGAGGATTCAGATTTTGTATATCCTTTGAAATGTCTATTTCCCATTTTATATGGTTTTCCAGAATGCTCTTGAATACTTTCTGATTTATCTTGATATGAAGTCCAATCATCATTAATAGAGTCTTTATGAAAGTAGGTTCCATCAGGCATTTGCTCTACTTCTGCATAGTAGTGGCTGCGCTCATATCCAGAAGGTCTTTTCAGCTGAATGATATCACCTTTCCTACTGGTCCACTCAACCTGGTGATCATGATAATCATTCTCATTTCTGGAATCCATCCTGCTAACATTATCATTACTATATTTACGTTTCAGCACTCTGTCATTATCTACAAGTTCATCAGCCTTTATTCTTTCATATCCTCCTGTACCTCTTTGCAATTCCACCTTTATATATTCAGAAGAATTCTTTAACATGGTTCTATCAGAACCAATCTGTGCATACCTTCCATAACCATAATCCATATGAGGATCCTCGAATTCATGCTCGTGTAAGTCACCGAGATCTGATATATGACGATGGTTTGAAGCTTTTCTAGTTGGTTCAACATGAGAATTCCCACTATCCAAATACTCCCCAGCTTGTATTAGTCCATTTGATGATCTTCTTGTATCCACATAATCTAGTACCGTCTCTTTTTGAATAACATCAAAGTCTCGACCTCCAACATTCTTAACGATTCTTCGAGAAGAGTGAGAACCTTCACCTTTGGGTATACTTTCTACAAGTGAGTCCATCCTATCAGGTCTTAGTACATCTCTATGATCATGTACTTCACGAGTGTATTGTGCCTTAGTATACAAATTTTCTTGGGAAGCATAGCCAATTTCATCATCCCCTCTAACCCTGATTTCAGGATATTCATAGTCTTTACGCTCAGGCCTGGATGATTTGTATGCATCACATGCATAACATTTTGGATCCCTACATATTGTTTCGTAACCTCTTCTAGAATCTGACATTATACGTTGACCATAATCATCAACAACAAGAGGTTCTAATTCTTTTCCGTAGCGTTTTGGATACCCATCAGGTGGCAAAGTGCGAACATCATGAACCTTGGATAGATACTCTCCTCTAGTCATAATACTTGAGGAGGTGCTTGGAATATTCTTTAGTAAGTCTTCACTTCCAAAATCCTTGATTTGAGATAGCGGAGAATCTATATAAGGACTCTCTCTAGAATAATATGCAGATTGTTCTCCATCCTTGTAATAAATGTCCTTAGCTATCTTTTCATGAGATATTGCGTCTTGATACTGAGCATTTTCATCCTTAACTCTGTGCATATCAGTTGTCGAGTAGTTCCCACATGGTTCAGCATATCTTGATGCAAAAACATAGTTAGGACGCAACCCAACATCTCTGTCCATGGCTTCCTCGAAAGGAAGCGTTTCAGCCATAGAATGATGCCCGCTTGTGCACAATCTTCTTGCACTATATTCCTTCTGCTTAACAACATCCATATGATCATCATAATTGTAAACATGTCTGGGTCTTGTGTTCAAATTACTATATTCCACATATTCAGGATATTCCGATTTTCCATGGATTCTCATAGCAGTCGGACTTGTTCCGAAAGCCCTTTCATCTAGATGTAGCCTCTTTTGTGGGTGTTGGACCGGAGGTGATCTAGACAACATTTGACCACCACCACTACCACTACCACAGCGAACGCGATCAATGTGCTGCTCGTACTCTCTTCTTTCAAGTGAGCTGCTCCTTCGATCTAGATTCATACTCCGCCGACTTCTCTCTACAATCTCTTGAGGACTCAAGCTCCGCCTCGAGCGCACAGGACCACCACGGCGTGGTGCAAAATAAGTTTCCTGATCCATATCATCCCGACGATCTCTCGTCGGAACAACTGAGGTTTTCAACCTCGTATCTTCATGTCTTCTAGACATATTCAAATTCCGCTTAGCAACAACAGTACTACCTTTTAGCAAATTCGGGTTCCAAACCCTAGTAAATCACCAAATTATAGAACTTTTCAATTATAATCAACTACTAATTGCATCAACAACCACCAAAAATCCCAATATCTTAAAGCTAGTTCAGCATAAACCCAAACCCTAAAATGCAAAAATGAATAGCATACCTGAACCAAAACACATCCAAATTCAGCAAAAATGACAGATTTAGTTCAAATTTCGAATAATTGAGAGCAAAAGTAGCATAAAAATTTCAATCAAACCTTATCGATAGGAGAAATTCTTCAGAACCAAACCTTTGAGGATCGATCTCAATCAATAATCATTCCAAAGTTCGATGATAATAGTACAGAAATTTTGAAAGAGGAAAGTGTATTTGCAACGAAAATGAAGTTTTGAGCATCCAAAAATGTGAGAAAGTAGAG